ATGTTTATCCTAAAAGGCTCAGTGACTAAGATGCTGAGCTTGTTATCAGAAAGGTCAGCAATTTTGGAGGAATGGAGTGAGCTCCCGTTACTTGTCCCAGCTTCTGCCAACCTAGCAGTTCGAAAGCATGTAAAAATGCAAGTAGAAAAATAGGAACCACCTTTGGTGTGCCTTCGGTGTTTAGTCATGCCGGCCACATGACCACGGAGATGTCTCCTGACAGCGCTAACTCTTCAGCTTCAAAACAGAGATGAACACTGTCCCCTAGAGTCAGGAACGACTAGGACATATGTGCAAGTGGAACCTTTACCTTTATGGATTTGGAAATTCAAGAATCAAGAATTGACTTCAAAAGCCAGGGACATTCCTATGAGAGCAAAAGACTCAAGGCCAGCACTTTCTTCTGAAATGAAAACTCAACACTATTTGAGAAGGACACCACAAAGGCTTTAACCATACCATAACTCTAGATAGTTAGTTATAGGGAAGGAGACAATAAAATACTTGACATTTATGTAAGCTTCGAATATTATAGCAGTCCAATCCAGATCAGAAATATGATGTCTAAATATCACAAAAATTATAATAATATTTCTAATGCATTTCTCTTGATTTTTCATTTCTTGTTATCATTTTTTCAATCAGACAACCTGCTGAGGTATTGAAATATTGTGTAGTTCCAAGACATGTAGAGAACACCAGACTCACGAAATTAAAAGACTATCCAGTTAAATATATAACCTTGGCAATGTCAGGCTCCGAAGCAATATAGTTGCAGAATCTGGCCATAGCACTTGGACCATCTAACATTCCATCATCCATGTTGATGTCAAGGATCTGAGCTCCCATCTCAACTTGAGCCTTGGCTACACTCAAGGCTTCCTATGTTAAAGGAAAAAAGACATCAGTCCTAATAGAAATGCATCTAATTCTGTTCAATCCCTCCTTTCTTTTCTTGTATTTACTTTGATGGCATTTGTTTCTGCATTATTTAGCAAGCTGCTTTTGTTATGTCTGCCTTCCCATAACACTGTTTCTACTTTTTTAGTCTATAAAATGTGTCAGAGTTTATTTATTTACATTTATTTTGTAAAACATTTTAGAGGCTGCCATCATCACATTTATTCAGAACTGCTTGAACCTCTCGCTTTTACAAAAGAAATACAAAAGATTGTGCTTCACATTGTACTAAAACAAAAAAACTATATTTATATAATGTACCTTGTAGAAACTATGCATTCAAATCCTTAAACAGTATACTTATACAAAACTGTAATGCAAGTCCTGAAGCTTAAAAAAAAGTTGGACCTACTTCATATTTGCCAGCCATTATAAGTTTGGCAAATCTCTTTGATCCTGCAACATTGCAACGTTCACCAATGTTGACAAAGTTGGTATATTTTCCAATCCTGAAGGGTTCCAGACCTGGAAAATAAATTTTATGTATACATACAAGGAGAAAAAGAATACTCTGAAAAACCAGAATATATATGCAGCACATTATGTCTATAGCAGATTCACAACAAATAGCTGAATGAACAAGGAAATGACAAAAAAGAAAGATATCTTATCTCTTCAGACTCATCATTACAGAGGTGGGTTATTGTTATTTGGGTGCCTTTGAGTCAGTGTTGACTCTTGAGGGTAAGGTAGGGTAGGATAAGATAGGATAGAATTCTTTATGGGCCAAGTGTGATCAGACATGGTTTAGGTAAATCTGGCTTCCCCATTGGCTTATCAGAAAGTAAGAAAATGTGATCACACAAGCATCTGAATTTTGATCATATTACCACAGGGATACGACAATGGCCTAAGTGTGAAAAACGGTCATAGGTCATTTTTTCAGTTCACTGTAACTCTGAATGGTCACTAAACAAATGGTTGTAAGTAAAATACTATCTGTAGTTTCTGGCCCCTTCCTTTCCTCTGAGTAAGGCTTTGTTGCATGAGGAACCAACTCTCTTCTCTACCTAGGCAATGAGTTGAGTCCTGGCCAGGCAGCCCAGAAGGGTGAGGTGTTTGTTCATACAGGTTAGATAAAGAGTTTTCCAGAAGGTGATTTCTCTGTAAGCTTCTCTTTGTGTCCTCCAGGCCCCATTTCTTCACAGGAGTCTTTATGCTTAGCAAGCACTAAAGTCTGCAGGCACTCGTTGTCTCATACTGTGGCTTACTCACAGGGAGCTGGTGTTTCCCCTTCATCACAGCAGCCATTCTATAATGCTATTATAAACTAGGTCAGCCATCTAAGCCCTGTCATCCTTGTGTCCAATAAGTACAGCAAAATGAAGATTCCCTCTAAGAGCTTTCCGAAGTAGATTGAAAGACTATAAAATAAAAATCCTCTTCACCTAATAGCTTAACCTAACACAAGTATTATATGAGGGTTTCAAATGGCTTGTAGGTGTCTTGAGGAAAAAGTAGAGCAACCACAAAGAATCCTAAGATATAATTAAGTGAACATAGTTAAGGAATTCTAGATATGTTATTATCTCACCTGACAGCAGCATATAGCCTTCAGAGACAGAGGCAGGGGGGATACGAGGTTTGCATGCCTTTACTTCTTCAGCTATCTTCCTGCATTACAAAACAGAAAGTTAAGAGCCCAGGGGATTTGCAAGAAAGAATGAAATTCTTCCAGAAGACACTAGAAGCAAATGAGCATTTAACTGTGTTTAATATTCTTTTCCAGTTCTCCCTTCTAAATGCCATAGTGTTAATCATATGAACAGTGATAGATTATAATCGTATGTACAGCATCTAATATATTAGTACTGAACGGAAAGCAGGATTCGGACAGACTAAACAAAGATGAATAAAAAACCAAGTAAATAATTTAGTCATTTTTATATTCATAAATGGAGCACTGCTTGAGATAGTTTCAGGGAGGAAAATGATTACATGACACAGAAGTTGTGAACAGCTCAAAGCAACATACTCTGTTCAAAACATCCTTTTTTACTAATCTATTTTACTGTTTTTTGAGGTAAGCTACTGAAACAAATTAACTTTAAAAAATTCATGGAAGGGAAAATGTCCTCATTCCCCCCTCTCATTGGAATCCACCTTAAACTGTTGAAAAGATTAGGAAAAAGAGATTCCTCGGGAGGTTACTCCTGGGAAAACAGATCACTTGATACATTGATTTAATGAAATTAACTTATTTGAACATCAATCCTGTATCAGATCCCACTTTTGGAAGGGGATCCAGTCTGCAAGGGGGAGACAAAGGTAGCTGAAGCAATGGGCACATTCCTTCTATTGTGTTATCTTGGACTCCAAAATACTGACAACTTATTTATATTCAGGTATAAAAGAAGCAAATGTGGTCTCTTAGTAACGAATTACAATACTTGGAGTACTTTTTTCATTTAACGTTTTGTTAGTTCATCATTAAGAAATACATAACAGAATTTTCAACAAACTCCTGCAACATATTTGCCTCTCTTTTCCTAATTAAAAGGAATACAGAAGGATACAGTTCTCGTCAGTCCACTGTTTCTGCAGCAAACTATAAGTGGTTACGGTCATGAGAAATGAGTCCAACCTGGGTTTGGGGTGTGGCATCAGCTGTAATCCCATAGCAGGGGTGAGTAAATGGCCTTGGTCATCCTAGAAATTATTATGGCTTTCAGGGATATTGCTCTGCAGAAAACCAGATGTGAGATACTGTTCATGAGATTGTGCCTCAGGGATCAGATGGAACAGTTATTACTGTACCACTCTACTAGGTAGATACTTCCCCATTTGAGCTGGATGTGGTGGATGGTGGGTGGGCTGTCAGTGGAATTTCCCAGGGGTATGCTCTTACGAGACTTCATTCTGCCTTTCTTAGGTATGAAATTGGAAGCAACATGGGAGTTCATGGCCACCAAAGGCCTGCATTGCCCCCCAACAATCTGAGTCCTCGTTTTACCAACTTTGGAAGGATGGAAGCCTGAATCAACTGTCAGAATCGAGCTTCAGCCTGTGGGCAGAGAATGCAATACTGCATTCTAACCACGGTGCCACCATGGCTCTATAGCGGGGGTGTCAAAGTGGCGGCCCGCAGCCAGATGCATTACGTGCAAGCCACGCCCAACCCATCTCTGCAAACGGGAAAAATATCACAAAATGTCACGTGACGGCAACGTAACACAATGAGTTTGATACCCATGCTCTATAGCTATCCTCAGAAGGGTCTTTGCACAACTTTGTGATGTGCGTCAATTACATCTATTTCTAGACAGGGTGGCCCTTCTCACAATTATTTATATCTTAAGTCAAATCTCAGTTGGATTTCTATAATGTAATGTACATTACATTGGAAGACCATCTAAAACTTGTAGAGGGCTCAGAATATGGTGGCACTAGTAGTAACATGCTCTTTGGAATTCTCCCCCACCAAAGGTGGAATAGCCCCATCTCCATTACTCTTTCGCAGAACCAAAAATACATGGCTTTTCTTCCATGAACTGATCCAGGATGGCAAATGAGCCTGTTTTGTAATGTACAATGTTTTCATAAATTGTGTTGATTATTTATTAGATCCCACCTTCACTACTTTATAAGTAACCAAGGAGGTGAACATACATAATACTCCTTCCTCCTGCTATTTTCCCCACAATCACCCTGCGAGGTGAATTAGGCTGGAGAGAAAGACTGGTCCAAAGGCAGGTTTCTGGTTTTGTAATTTGTCTTTGTATTATGCTTATTTTATTTCCAGTTTTCTTTTGTATGCTCCCCAGGGCCACAAATCATGGGGAAAGCCACTCTTTAAAATCTTTGAAATAAATAAATAAATAAATAAATAAATAAATAAATAAATAAATAAATAAATAAATGTATGTATTTTTCTGCTTTCCCTTTCCAAATGGCACTCATTTTAGACCTTCTAAACAAGTTCAGTCCTCATTGATCTGCTTCTTTTAAAAAAAAAAGTCGAAGCCTTGCGCTTTTCTTCATACTGAAATTGCATTGAACATGCTAATACACTTTTCCAGAGATGCCATTAGTTCAATTTCTGTCAAGATGGAGGCACCAAAAGATTCATTGAAATAAATAGATATAAAATTCTTTATATCGGATTACCTATTCACTGGGAATTCTACCCATTCAGAAACTCAGAATATATAAAAAGCATAATTATTCTTAGTTGCAAACCTTCCATTTTTCTTCTCTATCCCAGATGGTTATCTATATTTAATGTGATATTTCTATTCTGTCGCAAGGCTTTTAAAATTCAGCTCCATCACATTTTATTGCAAGGAGAAGGTAACTAAGCTCTTACTATTACAAATGGAAAAGAGCAGGTCTCCAATTAATTTTATACTAGGTTTAGAGAAAAGGTTTCACTAAAGTAGGTATAGTTAAACAAATATTTTATTAACTTAATCAGCAGTGCTTTTATGCATTGAGGAACCAGCAGATTCCACAATTGACATACAGCTTCTTTGAAACCTGTAAAAAAAATCTAGCTTAAGCTAATGAGTTAAACTTTTCTGAAGATTGTTGCTATTGACACTTATCATCACAGCCTAAAGTTTCCTCTGACTACAGTACAGTATTTCTTATATTTGACCAGAGATCACAGGAAGGTAACATAACACTCATGAGAATGAAAATATCCATCAATATTTTTCTTAGCAGTCACAAAACTGATTAGATCTAAAGATATTTTATGTTTTAATAATCATGGGAACCACTGATCTACAGAATTATTTTCAGTTACAAGAATGCTTCTGTTCCATAAATCCCTTGAGACATAATTAGAACTGGAGGGATGACTAACGGCATGCAAAACACTTTCAAAATAAATTCAAATCAAAATGCCCAACTTGGAACTCAAAAGAGTTGTTTCACATTTGGAACATACTATTTCAGTCATTTTGAGAATGTTTCAAGATTCAAAAGCAAAATATTTCCACAATAATCTCAAGACTTTTGTTTAAATATAGCTTTTTCAAAACAATACATTTCAAATATGGAATGTACTATGCACCCTAATAGCTTCAGTTCAGTTCTTGTTTGAAGGTTTACCTATCTAAAAGACAGACAAAGATGATGGCAGACAATAATCTCACCAAATTGTTCTCTAGTAACTGGGTATTTTGAGTCTTGCTATACCCACCATAGTAGCCATTTTGTGAACAGCCATGGATTGCAGCTAAGAAAAGCCCTAAAACATTTCCAAATATGTTCACTTGCTAAATCCCCCAAAAGTCCTCCAGAGGGCATGAAGAAACTTCACCTCATAACAAGTCAACATTAGTTGTATAAACACCAAGGACAGATAATCTGATACCTCTGTGCATTTTCATCTACAACTCTTATAAATAATGACTTATAGAAATTGCTAATGATAACTTCTAAACAACACTGGTGTCCCAATCTTGAGGTACAAGTCAATAATGAACATGCTAGATAGATGTCTCAAGAATACAACTTGCAGATGTACATAATGGATGTTGTCATGAAGAACGTGACATGAGTTTTGGCCACAGGACCCAGAAGGCCTTCTTCAAGCCATTTCCAGAAAAGAAAAGGGAAAAATTAAACCACCACTCCCATAAACAGTTACCAGGGATATGCAACTATTGTTGCAATGTAACAACTACAAAACTGTGTGCTTGTCATTTTTCCACACAAATTAAAATGTGTCTATTGATATTAGGGACCCTAAACTGAGCCATCATTTATGGCATTATCCTCAAACATAGATAATGTTGCGAGTAATATATACATGAAATTACCTGATATGTGCTGGAGTGGTACCACAGCAGCCACCAACTATGTTGACCAAACCATCTAAGGCAAGATTCTGGAGAAGAGAAAAAGCATCTTTCATTCAAAGACACAAATATGTTAAGAGCAGAGTCACATCTGAAGCATGCACAAAGTTTTGCTAGAATTTTTACTTACACATATCCTTGCCAATTGCCAACAACGCAATGGCAGACCAATAAGTAGAGCACAATTTCTTTCAAAGCCCCACTGAAGGCCTTAAATTCCATCTTGGATGAAGATACTTGCATGTAAACCTATTTCTTATTTTAAATGCCCTACATGTTTGCCTCCAGATGATACTTAGAAACAGTCCACAATATACCACTGAAAGTAAATTAACTTGGTCACATGAACCTCCTAGGGCACTGATCACTTTCTGAATCGTATGTCACCTAATGATACAACTTACATGATTTATTTCTGATCAACACCAGAGTATCTTAGAATTGCAAAACATCTAGAAATAGTAAAGCACATTTGCAGATTTATATTTACTTACTTGAGAATAACACCCACTATTGTCAGGGATATCTATTGGGGAGGCAACAGAAATCTATCAAAAAGTCAAGATGATGGCTATTGCAGCACGGCAAGGCATATAAAAGGGGCAGGGCTTCAATTACATTATTTGCATCCACCATTTTGATTTTTTGATACCCAAGAGCCGAGGTGGTGCAGTGGTTAGGGTGCAGTACTGCAGGCCACTTCAGCTGACTGCTATCTGCAGTTCGGCGGTTCAAATCTCACCGGCTCAGGGTTGACTCAGCCTTCCATCCTTCCGAGGTGGGTAAAATGAGGACCCGGATTGTTGTTGGGGGCGATATGCTGACTCTGTAAACCGCTTAGAGAGGGCTGAAAGCCCTATGAAGCGGTATATAAGTCTAACTGCTATTCCTGCTATTCCTGTAGAAAAATTTGTAATTTGTATGATTACTCATTAAAGGTCTCACACAATAATCCTAGGCATGTCTGCCAGCTCATAAGTAACTATTATACTATTGGGCAGTGTTGAGCTTCGGAGTTTAGTAACCATAAGGTAGGCAGAAAATTCTTGACATTTTTTTAGCAACTGTGTCTGACATCTTCATTTTTTAATAGTAATTTTATTATGTTACAATTAAAAAGATGAAAGCTAATATAAACTAAGAACAAGTAGCATCACCTTCTCTCAAATTGTAACATATGATCTCTTCTTCTCATATCCAATCTTTTATCTCTTAAAAAGACCTAGTCAGCAAAAGTCCATTAAGGGTTACCAGAGATACCAACAGATCTATTTTAACGTTGATCAAATAAACCAACTTTACATTCTTTTATTTTTAATAATCTTGATTAGTCCCTTCGACTAATGTCCTAGAACTTGATTTCATTTTTTTCTTTGTCCCTTCTCAGAAAATTCTTCAAAGCTTTAACAGTCTCTTTTGTAAATTTAATGTTGGAAGGTTACCAGATCATTATTTTGGATTTGTCATTTCATCAGCCAGTTTCAATGTAGCATCTTTTTCCTATTTCATTCTTGTAGCCTGTCTTATAAGGCTTATAAATCCACTCTCAGATTAACCTCAAACATTTTAGATCCACTGTCAAATTATTCTGTTTCCAACATTCAAAGTCCATCTTATCCAACTTATTTTCTTTTAAGAATCCAAAACAATCACATTCTCCCATGATAAGGATTCTTATAGTTACAAAATCTTATTTCAAATCCATTTGGGCCCTTACTTTGTTTATAACATTCCAAAAGTTCCTCCCATTTATGTCTGCAGGACTGTAACTTTGTTGCTTGCATCCTTACCATTTATATTGATTTTTATTGTTTTTTTGTTGCTTATTTGTATCCTTTGGTTCTGTGGTTTTTTATTTTTTGTTTGTGTATCGTCTTTTTATGTACACTGAGAGCATATGCACCAAAGACAAATTCCTTGTGTGTCCAATCACACTAGTCTATAACATTAGTTGTTCTGAAGGTATCTAAAATTTAAAAAGCAGTTATCAAACAACTTCCAAAAGGGATCTGAAAATGAAGCATGTGAATTCAGTGTCATTTGGAAAGATGTCAAACTGTGGTTTGGGCAGTCATTTCCTCATCTCCCAATATTCTAAAGCTGCCTAAGGCCACTGTTTTGTGATCTCCTCGCAAGGAGTAACTATCTGGAGCATTTGTGGGCAATCCCAAGCCCTCTCCTTATCTAAAGAGGAACTGTGAAGAATCAGTCCATTTACCGGCTATTTATTCTGCCAGAGTCATTGTCTCCACTGTCAACAGAGCTATCTTCAGTTGGCATTTCTTCCCCAGAAGTAATTGGCAGCTTCAGAGGCAAAGACTGACTTATTTTTGTCTTTATAGCTAGGTTGATTCTTCCTTAATTAAAACCATAGGAAACTCACTCTTCTGCCCTTGGCCACAACCAGATGACAGTGGCCACAACCAACAAATCAAAGAAACTTTGCCCACAGCTTCAATTGAGGAAATGATCAGTATAAGCCTGCGCAAAAGCAGAACCAACTAGAAATCAACTCCCAAAAATGGGAAAATCAGAAAGCTGCCTAGATATACACCCAATTAGAATCAACCACTTAGAGTAAGCAATCAGAACTCAGCATAAACTAGGAACCAATCAGGAATCAGACAATGAACAATCAGAAGCCCAAATGAAAAAAGGGCCAATCAGGAACCATTATCACCAAAAAAATCAATGAGGATCAGGCACAAACCAAGAATCAATCAGAGACCAGCCCTCACCAACTGTATCAATTGGAAACTAGCTTGGCTATAGACCTATCACTTCCTGCTCAGTTGTCTGTAAGCTGTTACCATTAAATTATTATACTATTGAACTCTAAGTACATAGCTTACACTAAGGTGTTTTTTTAAGAAACCTAACCAACTAACATACAAATCATTTTTCGCTATAACAAAAAAAATCTCACAAGAAAATACTCTTACTTTAATGTGCTTGCCAGTCACTTGAGGCGTTTCATCATAACCACCAAAGGTGTTAGGAAGACCTGAAAAATACATTCAATTCTATAAATCTTTGACATTTATAAATGGAAAGAAAAATGTCTTGACTGCAGTCAATAACACTATAACATTTTGAACAAAAAACCTGCAAACATTTGAATTATCTGAAGGCAACTCTCTTACTGAAGTTTTTCCTTCATAGTAATGTAAGAACAGACTTAGCACAAGTTAGTAAAGCAAAAAATACTTTTTTTTTGTAAAGGAAACTATTTAATTTTATCAGCAGTTTATTCACAATTTTATCTCAAAGAAAAACATTTGGCCACAAATCTAAAACTGAAAATATCTGCATACCACGTTTAAGATTTCAAGCCTCTGATTTCATTTAAGTATGCCCATTTTGCCATAGACTAAAGTCACTTAATTTTAATGGTCACTGCTCATCTGTCACATGGTGCAACCCCAAACAATAAAACTTTTGTTTAAAAAAAAGAAGCACCTAACAAAGAAAGTCCATTCACCCCAAATTTTATAAATGGTTCACGTCTGACAGGTTGACAAGTTATTTGGCATAGTAATTCATTTTGACAAGTTATTCAGCATAGTAATTCATTTTAATGCTGCTAATGGCACCTATACAAGATATACAGTATGTATCATGCTTTCATAGCACCTTTTGTTTCAACTGTTGTGAAAGGGCTGAATTCACACAAATCTATGCATACCTGCATTGGGATAACAAATGATGTAAGTAGTTGTAGACTTTCCTATTGCTTCAATAAAAGGTCTCATTTCAACTACCCCCAAAGCACAGTTTAATCCAATGCTGCAAATACAAGAGAATACAACAAAGTCAAGTTAGTTTTAATCACAAAACCATACATTTGGAAGTAGGCATTTAGGGAAATGTGACCAACTCCTTGCCTATGCAGAAATCCAGTTTAAAGCATTCCTAATAGATGATTGTTTTGAACTCATCCAGCAAAGGGGCACTTACTGATTATCATTTAAGTATGTTGCAATCAAATTACTCGTCAGCCATAAATGTGGTAAGTCATCAATTTTCTGCTGAAATGTGATCTAGATGTAGGAGTAGAGATACATAGTATGGTATGTAAAAAGCATTGTGGTGGACTAAAACCAGTGACACCTAATTGAAGAATCCAGATGAGATTTACATAAATGGAATATTTTGGGACCAGGCGAAATTTTGGAGGATCCAAATATTTTGATAAGTTATTGCAAGCTCGTTGCTTTATTGTTTGCTTTATGGAAATCTGTTTAATTATTATTTCTACAAACCACTTTGAACGCCTTTCAGAGGAGTGATATACAGTTGCAAGAAAAAGTATGTGAACCCCTTGGGATTATGTGGAGTTTTGAATGAATTGGTCATAAAATGTGCTCTGAACTTCATCTAAGTCACAACAATAGAAAAACACAGTCTGCTGAAAATACTACTACGCAAACATTAGATGTTGCCATGGTTTAATTGCATATAACATGTAAACATTCACAGTGCAGGGAGGAAAAAGTATGTGAACCGTTGGACTTAATAACTGGTTGACCCTCCTTTGGCAGCAATAACCTCAACCAAATGTTTCTTGTAGTTGCAGATCAGACCTGCACAACGATCTGGAGTAATTGTGGACCACTCCTCTTCACAAAACTGTTTCAGTGTAGCAATATTCTTGGGATGTCTGGTATGAATCACTCTCTTAAGGTCATGCCACAGCATTTCAATCGGGTTGAGGTCAGGACTCTGACTGAGCCATTCCAGAGGACGTATTCTGTGCTGTTGAAGCCATTTTTGTGTTGACTTACTTGTATGCTTTGGGTCATTGTCCTGTAGCATCACCCATCCCCTGCGGAGCTTCAGTTGGCAGACAGATGGTCGTACGTTTTCCTGCAAAATGTCTTGATAAACTCTGGAATTCATTTTCCCATCAATGACAAAAATCCGTCCAGGCCCTGAGGCAGCAAAACAGCCCCAAACCATGATGCTCCCTCCGCCATGTTTTACAGTGGGGATGAGGTTTTGAGGTTGGTGTGCTGTGCCTTTTTTTCTCCACACATAGTATTGTGTGTTTTTCCCAAACAACTCAATTTTGGTTTCATCTGTCCACAGTATATTTTGCCAGTAGTGCTGTGGAACATCCAGGTGCTCTTTTGCAAACTTCAAACATGCTGCAATATTTTTTTTTGACAACAATGGCTTCCTCCATGGTGTCCTCCCATGTACTCCATTCTTGTTTAATGTTTTCCTTATTGTAGATGTGTCAACAAAAATGTTAGCATGTGCCAGAGATTTCTATAGGTCTTTAGCTGACACTCTAAGATTCTTCTTTACCTCATGAAGCATTCTGCACTGTGCTCTTGCAGTCATTTTTACAGGACGACCACACCTAGGGAGAGTAGCAAGAGTGCTAAACTTTCTCCATTTGTAGACAGTCTGTCTTACCGTGGACACATGAACATCAAGGCTTTTGGAGATACTTTTGTAACCCTTTCCAGGTTCATGCAAGTCAACAATTCTTGATCATAGGTCTTCTGAGAGCTCTTTTCTGAGGCATGGTTCACATCAGACAGTGCTTTTTGAAACCAGTAAACCCACAACAGGTGTGTGTTTTTAAAGGGCAGAACAGCTGTCAGCAACACATCCAATATCATCACACTGATTGGAGTCAAGGTTGGCTCACTCCTGGCTCCAATAAGCTCTTGGAGACGTCATTAGGCTAGGGGCTCACATACTTTTTCCTCCCTGCACTGTGAATGTTTGCATGTTATGTGCAATTAAACCATGGCAACATCTAATGTTTGTGTAGTATTATTTTCAGCAGACTGTGTTTGTCTATTGTTGTGACTTAGATGAAGTTCAGAGCACATTTTATGACCAATTCATGCAAAACTCCATGTAATCCCAAGGGGTTCACATACTTTTTCTTGCAACTGTAAAAATAACATACAGTGGGAGATAATACAAATGCCACTACTTCTGCAGATAGTAGATTAAACTCTTTTAGCAAAAAGATAAATTCTAAATAGGGGACATTCTAAAAATAACAGATCTTCAAGTAGTGTAAACTCTACCATCTATTTATTTACATAAAAGCTAAAGCATACCAAGTTAAAAACAAACATTAAAACCAAAGGCAAAAGGGAGGGGGCAGGGACAGAGAGTGAAATATAAACTTCCCAATTCAATTGTATTTTGCAATTTCAACCTTCAAAGCTAGAAAAAGTTGCTTAGGATTGGCAGCCATATAAATCTTTAAATAAGTAATTAGAATAAGAAAGATTAACATCATCAGTGATTAGCTTCCTAGGCAGCAGCTGCTTGCTGGAGTTGCCAGAGATTCTTTATGCATAAAGCTAATTTAGTAACTAGTCAGGAATAAAGGTGAAAACATTATTGAACTATGTAAAATAACAAAAACAAGTCTGTAGAAGATAAGCCTCCATCAAGCTCTGGATTCACATATGTCAACTGCAAAGAAGCCACATGAAAGTTCCCTGTAGGCTCCCTCTTCAGTGGCCTCCTGAGGCTTTCTGGGCATGGTTATACATGCCCAGTGATCACTACTACCAAAGAAAACTGAGCAGCTGCAATTCCTCTGAAGCTTTCAAGGAGCTGATCAGGAGAAACATGCCCTTCACAACAAAATACCTTGCCCACCTGTCTCTAACACGATTGTCTCTAGCTAGAAATCCTCCAAGGTGGGGTGTCAACTCCCAAAATTCCCCATTCAGCATAAGTACTGCTCAGAATTCTTGGAATTGAAGTCTTGGTTGGAGGAAGAGCTACCTTAAATACAATTTGTTCGAACAGGAAACTAATCTTGACTACTAATCTTTATTTATTTAATTTATAAAATGTATATTGCTGCCTACTCACACATGACAACTCAGGGTGGCTTACAAGGATATAAACACACCATATAAAAGAAATAAAAAGAATAAAAAGAAAAATAATAAAATATAGATATAATATAGAAAATGGGCATCTCCCTCATCTTACCAAGGAGTGTGAGTCTTTAAAACGCTATAAAAACAGGAGGAAAACAATAATCCTCCCTCAGTCTACAGCTGTTAATGATAAAAAGCACAAGCAGGGTCAGAGATTTTAGGATGACTGAAGAAAAGAAGAGAGTGAAGCTTTTCCTCATGTGAAAATAAGTAAAATTGAATTTATGGCTTCAGTTCTTATGAGGCGGTGATTCCCTGCACTTCCAGTTCAGATTAAGCTTTAACAATCTCTCAGCAGGCTGCTTATTGCAAGAACATACTTACTGAAGGAAGATTCAGACAGATTGCAGTTATGACTGCTGGTGGAGTTTTTCATTTAAAAAAAAGGCCTGTGGCTGTCTTGATACCTAATAGTGCTTTGCTCACTGCAATGCAAAAGGTAAAAGATATATTTCAATGTAATACTGCATCTTCTAAAAAATATTGCAGCAGCTGTTAGCTTCTGAAAAAAATGTTCTGTTTAAATTGACAGTCCTATCAGTGGACACTCTTGTAATATTGTTAAAATAAGCCATTGGAGTCATTGACCTTACATTTTTTTATAATCCATGGGGAAGTTTATGCAATCTTTGATTCAATTTTAGACAGAGATTCTTCTGCTAAGAAGCAGCAATCTTTGATTCAGTCAGCAATGAAGGTTATATGAGCTCTGCTAAACAAGAACTCACAGACCACTGCAAATAGCCGACTGAGAGGTTTAGCTGTAGAGTAATTATCCACAGCATATAGTACAGCTATACAGCTAGTCTTCACTGAACTGTCCTATGTTGCAACCATTGAAAGTTACCATGGTGCTGAACAAGTAACTTTACAAGCAGTTGTTGCACTTATGACCATCGTAGCAACCTCCCTGGTCAGGTGATCAAGATTCAGGCAATTTGCAACCGACGGGTGTTTATGACAATTGCAGTGTCTTGTGATCATGTGATTTCTATTTGTGCACTTCACAATCTGCTTCCAACAATGGAGAAGCTGGCAGTAAAATCTCACATCATGGTCATGTGATATCTCACTTAATGACCATGGGCTACTGGCTTAGCAACTGTGGCAGAAGTGAGATCATAAGTCCCATCCTGGTTATGTGATATCTAACTTAATAACCATCGTTGCTTAGCAATGAAATTGCTAGGTGTTAAGCAAGGACTAATAATTTACCTAGGACAGTTGTCACAATACAAGACAATAATTAAGCACAAGGAACATTCTATTATGCACTGGGTATCTGTAGAAGCCAAGAGTATCATAAGAGATTCAATATATCCTAGAAATTACTTTCCACAGTCGGGAAAGACACTGAAGCTGAAAAGAGATCAGATTCTAGCAAGACAACAATCTGATAGATACTTTCAATCAACCATGAACTATATATAAAAGAAAAGGTAATGGTTTTTCAACAGTGTTCATTGACCCCAGGCTTGAACAGTACTGAGAAATCTCAAACATGAAATTGTACCCAGGGGGATATAAGAGTATTTTTGAGCTAAAAGAGTTTTTGCAAGTAAAAATGAGGGAACACATTCAAAAGCAAGAACAGACTCTTAACTGGCTGGAGGAAATATTGTGAAGTTGTTTCTTTTTGCAAAGGATGCCATCCAGCTATTACAAAGTAATAGTTAGAAAGCTGTCCCAACCTCTTCACTTGTTGTATTCACTCTTTCTCATTCAGAATCTATAAACACAACTGTATTCAAATCTGGAGAAAAAGTGAATGTTTAGCTTTGTACCACAAAAAGATTATGTAATCTTCCGCTGCTCACTTAAGCATTTTTTTAAACATGCTATTTGACCAGAAATATCCCCATTTTTGTATGCAGCTGTATATGTACCCTTCAATACATGCATACATTCCACATTTACTTTTTTCTACATAATCCATATCGCTTTTAAAACCTGGAGTAATTATAAAATTGGCTGTCATCAATTGTACAAAAGATCAATGATCTCGGCACTGCTTCACAAAGGCATACAATGATAGAATCGAAAATATAGCAAGGGTATATGTGGCTGCAAGTCATTCAAATAGTATACAGGTAAAGGTTCCCCTCGCACATATGTGCTAGTCCTTCGCGACTCTAGGGGGCAGTGCTCATCTCCGTTTCAAAGCCGAAGAGCCAGCGCTGTCCAAAGACGTCTCCGTGGTCATGTGGCCGCCATGACTAAATGTCAAAGGTGCATGGAATGCTGTTACCTTCCCACCAAAGGTGGNTACTCTAGGTATAGATCTAGATATACTAACCTCTTACAAAAACACCAACTGAGACTACTCACTTTATTTGCAATGAACAACAGTTGCTCCTTTCTCTCACAGAAAGGAGTCTTTAAGCTTTAAAGACAAAAGAACAGGTACTTTTAAATCTCAGCTGTAGATTTTCAATAGAGAAGGGATAAAATACCTATGATTCAACTCCTAATTCTTCCATAGAGAAGGGATAAAATACCTATGATTCAATTCCTAATTGATGTTAATGTTGTGGAAAACATTGCTTAATAATTAGCAATGTTGGTTACATTTTACATTTACAATGATACTATCTCAGTGCAGTGCTCAGAGACTGCAGATCTTTGCAGCCACATATTAATTAGATTTCTCTTGTGAGATCTCATAAGATGCTAACAGAGATATTCCCTGGGGAGAGGAATAGCCAGTTTCTCAACTTTTAAGATTTTTGTGATTAGACTGCCATAACTTTCCATAGGGAAGTGTCCTCAGAGAATCTTCAGAAGGTTTAGTGCAGGAGTGTCAAATTGGATTTCTTCAAGGGCCGGATCACATTGTAGTTCTTCTCCGCGGGCTGGCCAGGGGGTAGGGGGAGAGGGGACAGCCGCCTCCTGCAGCACTCTGCTGGCCAGAACAGGGCATGAAGACCCCCCTACCCCCATTTTGGCTTCCGGCAGCACCGTGGATCGCTCTTTTGCTATTTCCAGGCCAGCCCCGCAGGCCAGATTTAAGCACCCCTGGTTTAGTTGGGTCATCAGAGGTTGTTGTACTGCTGACTTCAGGAGCAGATCTATTGGCTGTTGGAATATTTAAGACAAATATTTAAAACGTATAGTTGAAAACCACCTGTCTTGGCATGACACAAGTTTCCCCCCATTCTTCATCTCTCAAAGTTTCCCAGAGTTTCTTGTAAGCAAGTAGCCTGTTTGGAGTTAATGCCTAGCCCTTCTGTTTTTGCATTCATTTTTCTAGCAGTTTTTCTGCCAGATTTTCATGTGATACAGCCTTTGTTCCTCAACAGTAGTGCTTTGTTTGGGATAACATACAAGTTTCCCTGGGATGCTCGGGTGGCTAACTGGGTGTTGGTTACTAGATGTCAAGGAAATGTAGGAAAATGGATTATTTTTGAAGCTGGAATCAGTTAACTTAAATTTAACTTTGGGGACGTAATTACATAGGTGACATGACAAAGTAGACATGATAGAAGGAAGCTCCTGCATTGCAAGTGTTAAACAACTGTGGTTTTCGCCTATTATCTTATTGTTCTCCTTGATCTGTTTGTAGGAAAATTCTACTGCAAACCTCACTACTGTTACAGACTTTCAGGTTATGCCCAGAGGAAGAGGCCAGCAGTGGGTCCATTGTCAGGAAAGGTAAGGTGGAGTTTTATTTTTTATTATTAACAGAGTTGCTTCTTGGTATTAAACATGGCTTTGAGTCGCTTGTAAGGGGAGGGTTAATTTTAAACCTTGCAGACTACGCAAGAATGTGTCAGTGGATGTAAAATTATACTTCCCTGTAGTCAAAATTGAAAATATCTTATAGAATCATAAAAATACTCTCCTTTACATTATTTCCCATATGCTCAAGCATTTCACAAAAGTGGAGTTTTTGAGTCAAAATCTGCAAGGCTGGCTGCTAATGAGTATGTCCTCCAAATGTTTTGGACTATCTCTTTCATAAAAGTGAGGCAAAATGGGCCGTGGAAAGGATTTATGGAAACTGTAAGCCAAAATACGTAGAAGACATCAGGATCTATACCTCAATCCAGAATATCAAGTCAACTAGATGAAGGAATAAATTAAAACAGTAACATGTTCATTTTTTCTCTATGGTTGACTTTATATTCTTTCTTTGCATTTAAAACTTTATATAATGTCAAATGGCCAAATCTGCATCTATAAATCCACGTTTTAGTTTGTTTGTTTATATATATTGTATGTATATATGTACGTACATAAGTATATCCACCTAAGATTTAAGGACTCCCTATCCTTTTAGCCTTCTGGAAGTTAATGAAAACTTGGCTGTTTCCACCAAGATTGGGTTAGGATGGGGTTGAGTCAGGGGGTCAATAGTATGATTGGTCTGTCACCTGATGAAAAGAGTTTATATTTTTTTTACTGGTTGCTGTAAGCTGTCTAGGATCCCTATGTAAGATAGGCAGCCACATACGTTCTTTAAATAAATAAAGATATAAGTGAAATAAGGAAATAAGTGATCATGTTATCTACCTATTATCCATGGAGCATTGATGATGAAGTGACTCGTGAATTATATTAGGGTGGCCAACTTCCAGCTCATGACTGGTTTCATCCCTAACCTTTTGCCAGTAGACGTTGTTAGCCATTCGCCATCTGATTCACAATCTGTCGCAGATTGTCTTTGCTGATGGATTGGATGGTGGTGGTTTGGGGGTTAAGAAACTGACGAAATGGACTTGTATGCATTTGTAGGCTGATGCAACCTAATAATAGGTTGTTGTCAAGCTCCTGCCCCCCCACCCTTCATTTTGAATGTCCTTCTGGTATCTTTGGATCAAAGAGCAGCTTTTGGTCAGTTTTGTCGTCTGGTAGAAGCAGCCTGTTTCCCAGCAATCTATTGAACATGGACGGGAGTGAAGGAAGTAGATGCAAAGACCAGAGTATATAGGAAAAAAAGGAATATCAATAGGAGACGAATGAGCTGGAGAAAGCTGAAGGAGTTGTAGGGTTTGATAAACAATCTTCAACTGTACGTTCTATTTCAATGAAACACACACAACCCTCCCCATAGCCAGCAGAGGACGATATGCCGAAAATCAGTTATCAGTTCCACAAAGCTGTCTTTGTTTTGAAGGAATCAAAAGTAATATAATGAATCAAATCATGATTAAGTAAGATCTCAGAAGCTCACCACTGCAAACACGTTCAGCTTTTTAAGCAAAACGGTGTCACCCTTTGTTCATTTGCATTTACCTACACTTGGGATGCGGTGGCTCAGTGGCTGAGACACCGAGCTTGTCGATCAGAAAGGTTAGCAGTTCGGTGGGTCGAATCCCTAGCGCCACATAACGGAGTGAACTGTTACTTGTCCCAGCTTATGCCATCCTAGCAATTCGAAAGCACGTAAAAATGCAAATAGAAAAATAGGAACCATCTTTGGTGGGATGGTAGCAGAGTTCCGTGCNGGGGAGTTCGTTCCAAAGGGTCAGAGCAGCCACAGAGAAGGCTCTCCTCCGGGTAGTCGCCAGTTGACACTGGCCGGCAGATGGGATTCGGAGGAGGCCTAATCTGTGGGATCTAAACGGTCTAGTGGAGGTAGTTGGCAGATATCATATATAGACTGGTTGAAACTCTCGTCTTGGTAGATGAGGAGGTTTATTACCATTGCAATTTCTGTATCACAAATATCTCTTTCACAATAAGACTACAAAGTAAATAATTATTTCCTCCCTTAGAGATGGGAGGTAGGTCAACAAGACTCTATGAATTATTTATATATCCTCTAATCCATCAAATGCCATGGGACTTGTTGTATAATTCGGGTAGAAGTGAAACAGGTTCCTGTATCATTTGCCAACCGTTTCTCACTGTCTCAGGATCCTTGATTTATTGTAAGTTCCTCTGTTTTGGGCATTCTCTGGAGCATCGTCTGTAGAAAATTTCAAGACCACCCAAGAGAAAATGAATGGCTTCCATGGGAGTAGAAGCAAACTTACAAGGCTTTCCTTGCTTCTCTCACTTTAGGGTTCATTAAAAAAAGAATTCCCCCCCAATGTTGGAGGCAGTGATGTCTGCTACTTCTGCCACAAGCGGGTTTATGTGATGGAGAGGCTCAGCGCTGAGGGCAAATTCTTCCATCGCAGCTGCTTTAAATGTGAATACTGCGCCACCACTCTACGCTTGTCCTCCTATGCCTACGATTTGGTGGACGGTAAGTGAAATTTTCTTGGAGGTTGAATTTTGCTTCTGTCTTCTGGGACTGCATGTCTGCAGAAATAGATCTCGGGATATGTCGCTGGGGGAAGGAGAGGGTAGTTGTTCTGGGAAAAATTGGAGGATGAGGAGGTTATGTGTATCACCTTGAGCTCTTGACAGAATACAAACACATACCATGTTTCCCTGAAGATAAGAAAGGGTCTTATTTTCTTTTGACTCCTGAAATAAGCACTTGGCCATACTTTTGAGGAGATTTTATTATTTTGGAGGTGCAGGAGGTGGCGAGCATGGTCACTTCATGGCTGCTGCTGTGTTGCAATATTTTCAGGGAGGGCTTATTTTAGCACATGCGCTCAAAAGTCCGATTGGACTTACTATCTGTGGAGGTCTTATTTTCAGGGAAACAGGGTATTAATATCTAGGTTTATATTAAAGCTAAGTACTAAAAGTATCTACAGTTGCAAGAAAAAGTATGTGAACCCCTTGGGATTACATGGAGTTTTGCATGAATTGGTCATAAAATGTGCTCTGAACTTCATCTAA